AGGGATTTCTGCAAAATAATTGATTTCTTTTCTATCCAAACTGACTTGTTGCCACCAGAAATCTTCCATGATGCAGAGGTTTTGAAATGGTACATTTTCTAAGATAGATAGAAACGCATGTGCAGTTCAGAGAAATTCAAGAGAAATGCATTGTTTTTTTTTTATTTTTAATTTATTTTACAGATACAGAGTTAAAATGCACAATAACAACATAAATGCCACTTAACATGAAACAATCATTGTGCTAAATTATTCAAGAACTTAAAATGGGAATTTAAAGCTGTTAAAAGTTGTTTTCTATCAGTGTTTTCTAAACAGTGATTACATGTAAAAACCAAAATCTATATTTAGAGCTTTAAACTTTATGAAAACACATACAATCCCATTATCTTGTTGCTTTTTGATCAATCAATCCAAATATTTCCAACAGTTCTAATTTAAGAGCAACAACCTAACAGGTTTTTTTTTTTTGCTGACCCATGTTTCTGTTTGATGTAAGGGGGTCCGGTTTGATCCAGAGATCCCCCAGACCCTGCGGCTGGAGTTCGCCAAGGCCAACACCAAAATGGCCAAGAACAAGCTGGTCGGCACTCCCAACCCCCCTCCCACCCAGCAGAGCCCTGGGCCGCAGTTTATTAGCAGAGACCCATGTGGGTACTGGACCATTCGTCTGTCTGTCTGTCTCTGAGCTTGTCTGACTTTTTTGTCTGTCTGTGTGGCTGCTTCTTCAGCCATTAACTCTTGTTTGAGTTGACTGGACAGCTGTTTCCTTTTAGTTTTCAGAAATAGATGAGTTTTTGCTTTAGCTGCGACTATACCTGACAATCAGAGATTGACTTGGCTGCTAATCACTTAGATCGATGTTGTTTGTTCCTCAGTGAAACATTGTCGTCCTGTGCAATCGTGTTAATATTTCTCTTGGTAAGCTGTGAGCAAACATTGATCCTCTCCTTCATGCAAGCATTTCTTTAAAATCAGATGCTGTGCAGTTTTGCCATAGCGGGTTAATTTGATTAGCCCACCCCCCTAAACGAGACATGCCCCCTGTTACATTAATGATTCATGTTCATTGTTACTCGTTGGTCTAATAATTTGCACTCAAGGCCTGTGAGTACCAGGTGGAACCTGGTTCTGCCTTTTTCTATTTAGTTAAACATTTTTCCACAGGGTTGAGGATTTTGCAGGAATCAGCCGCTGATCGTTGAACATAGGCCAGCTGTGGTTGTACATTCTTCCTGAATGACCAAGCTGCTCTTATCTTTCCTTTTGCCAGAGAAAGGGTGTGTACTTGGGGTCCCATTGGAAAATGAAAGGAAACAATTAATGAAACCATGACGTAATCACTAGGAGATAAACTGCTGTCATTTCCTGACAAGAGATGTTGAAACAAGCTATTTATTTTCTGATCATGCTTCAATAAACAGTCACCAGGAGACACAAAGTGCACAGGGAAAAAGCTGCTTGAAATTGTATGACCTCCTGATGTTATTGCAATGAGTTGCTGTCTTTTTCTGATCCTGTGTTTTTAAGTGTTTGCTCACTGTAACACTGCACTGGCACTTATCTCTTCACTTGTGCACTATGCTCCTTATTTCACTGTTACTTTACACTTGACTCAGCGAGTAAATCATCACATCTGAGATGGTTTCCTCTCATTCTCTTCTAGAAAAAGGCAGCTTTAGTGGTTTTATCAGAGTATAACTTACAATTCTCTTTGCCGCTGTTGCTACATGTGAAGCTTTTGTTTGGTGGTTTGCGGTTTACAGTGATAAAGGTACTAGAATCAACATTCTTAGTAATTTCTAAAAGAATAGATACTACTTCATTTCAGACAGAGGAAGACAAAAGCAGGCTTCTCTTTTCGAGCCACTGATTGTCAGTTTTGTTGCCTGACATTAGTTAATCAAGCTAATTTCAGTTACATGAGTTGGCCAGAACACCATTTTCCAGTTAACTCATTTTAAAATGGGAAATTACACTTGGTGCTAGATATAAACAGGATATTGTGTTATATAAATAATGAAGCTAAATATACTCGCCTTAACTTTTGACCCTGTTTGGCTACTTAGCCTGCGTATTTGTTCATATCTCAGCCTGTAAATTATGTTTACAGCAGATAGGCTGGCAAACATAGACTGATTCTGGTATCGGGTTGATGCAGTGTAAACGTTGTCAAATCTAATACAAAGCTACTGAGGTTAGCCAAAATGCTGACAGCAGGCAGGACCTCAACACAGTGAGAGAAGTTACAGGTGGATGTGGTAGTTGGTCATGGATGTTTTTTTTATGTAAATTGTAAACCTACAAACAAATGTAACCAGTTGATGCTATTCTCCTGGGCTTTGGTTGTAACATTTAGTTACTAAGCTAAGAGATGGACATGCTAATGACTGCAGTGTAGGTTTGGGCAGATAAACAAACTGTTCATTTTGCATGTTGTGTTTTTGTATGGTTAATCTATGATTTGACAAGTGTCATCTGATTTAAAGGAAAAATGAGGAAACTACTTCAGATAATTGATGTTCACCTGTAGCACACCACCACCACCGCCACCACTACCACTGCCGTCACCTCCACCCTATCTCTCTAGCCACTCACCCATCCACTGGCCACTCTCCTCACTCCACTCCTCCTCTTCTTCTTTCCACAGATGAGCTCACAGTGCCTGCTCTATATCCCAACAATCCAGACGTGTGGGCGTCATACCCGCTGTACCCGGCGGAGCTGTCGCCAGCCCTCCCACCCACTTTCACCTACCCCGCCTCGCTCCACGCTCAGGTAACCTGCAGACCAACCTCCCACCCCCCACCTCCTTTCCTGAGTCTGCTGCACAAACAGCTGCTGCCATCTGTCCTGAAATCACAGTCTGCTCCATCCACAGATCCACCTCAAAGTACCCTCCACCCAGGCACTGTCATTGGCAGATTTACAAAACAACTGATTGGATAAAGAGCATAAGCGCAGTCGAGCTTAAATTAAAAATCTTTAGTGATAAATCACTTTGGGGGATTTTTTTTTTGATACACTGAGGCAGAACAATGGAGAGCTCTTATAATGTCTCCACCCGCTGTTATGTTGAATTGGTATCCTAACGTAATTCAGTGATATCAGTGGGAACATATTGCAGCTCTTACAAAAGCAGCTAAGCAGATTTTTTTTTTCCTGTTGGGTTTTTATAACCTACCCAGTTCTTTAAACAAACTATCACAAGTACAAGTGCAAAAATAGTAACATAGTCGTATTATAGCTTCAGACTATCATTTCTAAACACTGGTCAGTCATGTTGTGGCACCATGAAAGCAGGAAATGAATCAGGATTTTGATACAATTGAATTTGTTTTTATTGATAGTGAAACTCGTGACCTTATAAATATTTAATCTTCAGGGTGTAGCCCGTTTTTGCAGACATGTAATGCTGTTTTACCCATCTCCTGAGAAGAGCTGCTACCTGATTCCATTAACTTCCAGGAACCGAATTAAACTAAACTAATCTCACTACAGGAGAAAGGCGTCTGTGGGTTTCACTCACTTTCAAGAGCCCTAAACAGGAAAAATTGCAGTATTCACTGAAAAAAAAAATCTTTATAAAAGGCAATTGATAGGTAATTTTTTTTTACAGTAGCAGTTGCATTACCAGTTAATGTGGATTGCAACCATTTATTAAGGGCAACACACACTAGTGGAGTGTGAACTGGCGGCAAACTGACGTGTCTTCTCGGGTTGATGTACTGTATGTCTTCATGTCAGGATACACCGCTGTTCCATTTTTCTGGCATCAACGCATGTCAAACAACTTTCATTCTCCAGATTGAAACGTCACAGCCACTATACCTTTGTCTTGTGTCTGTTCTGTAAGTGAGGATCATCTTTTTTTTGTAGCTTTCGGAATGGATAATTACAGTGGAAGAAAAAATCATTGTTGAGATTGAAAAATACCTGGAGCTGAATGACCCACAGTCCAGGCATTATAAAAATAATATTAAAAAAGATATTGCTGGTGAGCCATAGCCAGAGATAACTGTTCCTCAGGCGAGGGCTCAAGTAAAATAACACACACAGACCAGTCTGGGGCAGCTGTCACTTCATGGTGGAAGTATTTAGAGCTAGCTTAACTTTCTAGTGTTTTCTGGTCATACTGCACATACTGTCAAAAATCAGCAAGGCTGAAATACTCCCCCATTTCAGTGATCTCGCACTGAATTTATGACAACTCTGCCAGTGTTGCCTGGTGTTTCTGACTCTGAGAAAAGAAATGAATCTTTGTAGCTCTACAGCAGTTTGACAACTACAAACATGGAATCAATATAATCAATAGATTTTCCTGCCAAGCTTGTTTGGCAACAGAGAATAAGCATCAAGTTGACTGAAACACTGAATGTATTTTTATGAAGTTAAGAATTCAAGACCAAGAAAGGTTCAAAATGGAAATTTCTGTTAAAGTCTAACATCATGGGTGACAATTTCCAGTTTTCAGGAATTGATAAAAATTCATTCTGTGGCACTTTATTTATCCCAGTCAGTGGCATCATTTGTACAACTGAAGTCTTTAGCAGTTTCAAAGGTTTGTGTTATCATTTGACCACGACCTACTTCATTAATTAAATCCCTCTTTTTCCACCAACCATGACCCAGTTTATCGAGGCCTTTAATCTGCACAGCTCCACTGTGAGTTCACATAAGAGTTCTTCTTTGAGCTCTTTAAATTCTTCTCATGAACCGCCTTTGATTCTGGATGACCCTGAGAAGATCTCACTGTTACCATAGATGCACATGGTTTCTAAATGGTTGTTTCTATAATCTTTCACTACTTTGCAGTATTTTAAAATCAAAATGTTTCAGAGTTATAACGTTGTCTTTTATCTCTAGAGAGTACCGTGTATGTCTAACGTTGTCTTTTATCTCTAGAGAGTACTGTGTGTAGAGTACCGTGTATGTCCATATAAAGTGCAGATGCTACTGTTATTTAAGTATAAAGACCCCTTGCAAAGACACTGAGCTGAACTTCAAAGGATGTCAGAAATGGAAATGAGTGCAGGTTGAATCTGCCAGTTGGCATTTTTCCATATGCAGTGGATATGTGAGCACACACTGACACTGACTTTGTGATTTCAGTAGGGTCAGCATCTCACAAACCTCTTCTTAGCAAGATCACATGCTGATGTGAGACATAAGACTTTTTATATAGTATATACATGTATATAAACACATTTTATGACACAGACACCAAATTCAATGGTCAAATCTAATTTATTTTGACATGAGCTAAGCTCAGTAGCTCTCTGCTTAATCTGCTGATGTCATAGAGTACTATTATTGGATTGCTAGTAATGTTAGCAACTGAACTGCTTGTAAGCAGTAGATCTAAGAGAAACAATAGGTGCCTTTGTTGTGAGACACCATGTGAGCTTCATTTGAATCTAAGACAATGATTGTGTAAGTTATGTGGAAATTTACAAAACATGACAGTTGGTAATAGATCACTTTTTTATAGTAAGACTATGAAGTTCTGTAGCAAACAGTAAACTGTTGTGCTGTAACTCTTACATCTTAAAGACAAATCAGTGACAGCTATCAGCTCAGTGTGAACTTATAAAACTTTAATTTAAAGGAGTAGTTCAACATTTTGGATTAGACTTTGGATGAAAATGTTAATACCACTTTCATGTCCGGAAATGAATAGAGCCAGCAGTTAGATTATCTTATCTTAAAGGCTGGAAACGGGGGGAAACAGCTAGCTTTGAGTCTTGTCACCTCAGCAGCGACTCCACTGCACCTCGCCAAGAAATAGTCTGGCCCCAAACCAGCTGTAAAACCTGACATATTGTTGTTATGCTTTGACTTTTGTACTGATTAAACAAATTAGATCAAATGTGTTAAGTAATGAGCATCAGATTTGGAGGCAGGTGCACTGTTAGCTTTTGACGGTGCCAACATTAGTCGATAAACTGAATAGAACGTTTGTATAAATATAAACTCTATATGCATTTGTATTTATGTATGTGTGTGATTTTGCATGTTTAGATTCGCTGGCTCCCACCTGCAGATGGAACTCCTCAGGGATGGAAGTCCAGGCAGTTCTGCTGAAGTATGTGTGAGTAACAACACACACACACACACTCAACCCCCTGCCCTGCTATGACAAACCAGTGTACATTGCGCCATGCCATGAAAACGCTACTAGTAAATATTATGACAGTTTGTTTAAACAGGTGCAGAGATATTATCACAGGATGGTGCTCCGTGCACATGTTGTGGGCGTCAAGTGAGACCCTGCTTTTGTCCTCAGACCTCACATGAAAAACCTCCATCCAACCCAATTAACCACCTAATTAGAAACATTTCTGCTAGTTGATGTCACACACATACAACCCACTAACACAACACCGATTGCCTGTAACAAGTAAATGTGGGAGCGTGAAACCCAGTGGGTCAACGAAACTGCAGCAACTGCTCGCACATCATCATAAGAGATGAAAGGTGCGATTAAAAGAGGAGCTCCATTATTTTCCCCATTCAGGTCACAGGGTACAGAGGGTCGACTTCTCCCATCGATGTGATGCTTGATCTCAGGCATCAAAGGCAGCGAGTCAAACAGAATATACACCAAGCCCCGATGTAGCGGAGCCAGGGTAGCGCTCAGCAAATATGACTAAAACAGTAATATCTACTGCTTTGATAGGTAATATGATTAAAACCACTGGTGACAGATTTATTCAAGTACTGGGAGGCTAAAACACTACGTGGAGCCGAGGGAACAGTACAAGTACAAGTGACCCCTGTCAAAATATACATAGTTGATATAAACATATTGATTAGCCCTACTTGAAGTAAAGAAACCGAAGGATATGAGTGCATGTTCCACCTCTGACTGTATTATTTTGCATGATTTTGGGTATAGTCTTCCTGCTCTAAAATTCAATTAAAGGAAGTAAATTAGGTTTAATATAAAACATGCCGAGTGGTTTTTGTGCAGGATGAGAAGTTATTGGTTTTACAGATCTGCCTGGAAGGATGCCTGATATTTATTATTGTTGTATGTGACAGAGTTTATTATTGTGCAGACACACTACAGTAACAGTTCAACAATAAACACCGGTATATTGTCCTATATTAATGTTGGCTTGTACAACAGATATTAAGGTATATTTATCATTTTGTCAAACAGTGGCAGGATAAAATACATTTTTTAATTTAAAAAACGATTTTGGCATTTCTGCTTTATGACAAAGTACACAGTGGAGAATTATAAAGAAGGTGGGACAGAAAGCGATGGAGGATGTGATTTTCAGAAAGGTCGTAAACGTGGGATATGCACCGTGAACTGCTGAGGCACCTGCGTGCTGCCCCGAGGACCGTCTTTATGAATCTTTATTAAAAACTGATTAGCATGGGGCTCTATTTAAAATAAAGTACATACGAGTTAATTTTAGTGGAGCTGCAGACGGCACACAGAGCAACTGGCTTCTAATAAGTGCTTTCATAAGTATATGAGTCAACTGTAACTGTGCATAAGCTGCACAGCACATGTCCTCTGCTCTTAGGTTCAGACAAACTGAGCGTTGTTGTGCTTGCGGAAAAAAACAAAACCACAAAGCACAACAAATCCCCTGCTGGTCTGTGTATCAGTGTTGGCTGACTAAGTGTGTGTGCGCTCGGCGCCAGTCACACTGTCACCAGTACCCTCCCTTCAGCACCTCGGGACAGGAAAAAACATGTTCACCCGACCCCTTAGGGAGTCAGTGTGGTGTGGGAGGGTGGTGGTAGCATGGAGGCTAACATTCATCAGGCTGTTGATTGGTGCTAGTCCTCTGCTGTCCCCTTCTAACCCTGCATCATCGCTTACTTGGCTATTTCCAGCAACTTTAACAGTACTACATGGAAAAAAAAAGCTGTTGGAGTAATTTAGTGTTTTGGGGATTTTGTCTCTGTCAGGAGGGTAAAGGAGGAAGGGAGTGGAGGAGGGATGGGCTTGGTGGAAATAATTGCTCCTCTATCAAACCAGAAGGAAGTCATTTGGCTGCTCAGGCTGCCCCACTGGATATTAGCCCCTCAGTGAAACAACAGCGTCCCAACATCCGGCTCACAGTGGAGGCTGAAGTGAAGCCGAGACGTCCAGTCAGAATATTGTGATAATTACAGGCGACTGCAGCAGACATAGACATATGCAACACACTCAGATTATGTAGTGTGGATTGTAATCACATGCCCAAACATAAAGTAGACACACACAAACAAACAAAAAGCTTAATTTTTCCTCACTTCGGCTGGCTGATACTTTGTTCCCAGATTCTGAGATACCTGTTTCTCCTGCCACCCCAGTACAATGGAGGCGATAGGACTTTTGTTTGTTGTAGTCACAGTATTGAAAGATTACACCAAAGTCGGCATGCTTCGGTTCTTTCTTTGGTAGTTTGAAAAACCACAGACCTCACGCTGAAAAATTTGCAAATATTTTCTCCCAAAGTAGGAGAACTATTCACTCTGAAGTCTGTGGATTGTCCTGAGCAACAAGGACGCTGTTTCTGGAAACAAATGTTGTAAATGTCAAAAACAAAATTTCATTTATCACCATTGTATTGGGATGGAGGCACAAATCCTGGACACAATTATCTAAATTAAACTTACTAGCCACATATATGCATATCCACACAATTCATAAGACGTATACAGTTAACAAATATAAAGTTGACCTTTTCCTCCATTTCCTACCAAATTCCCACCTGTTATGTTCGCACCGTGCTCTCCTTATGCCCTTTTTGAAAGTAACCAGCATCACTGAGATAACAAGCAGCAGTTCTTCGCTGCTTTGTGACTTATGTAGCACACTCTTAGTTGTATCCATGATAAGTGGAGCAGTGTCATCACTTAGAAGTGTAACAGCTGGGAAACAGTAAATACACTTATATTAGATATACACATGCTTAGCTCGTTCCAAAACACATTCCTAAACCATGTGGTCATATCTCTTGACAAGATCATTGCTGCGTAGTTCATACAGAAGTGATGCCAACAACCTCATCGGGGTTAAAATCCAAGGCATTTTTCCTTATTGTAATCTAGGTGGACTGACCTTTAAGACAAGATGGTCAAGTCATTTTCTAAAAGAGAGAATTAATTTCTCTCATGGTTCTGTCTACTGACAATCATTTAAAAGAAAACACTGGTCGTTTCCTACAATAAACTGTGTTGAGTTAACCTTGCTGCTTTGTTTGTCCCTGACACTTTGCACCTGCGTCAGACCTTGTATCTTTTGGCTCTTCTTGTCTGTTAAATGAATACAGTGAGGTTAGAAACACAGTTATGTGTCTTGATGTGGGGCTGCAACAAGGGTGTTACTTATTTGTGCAATGCAATCTGCAAAGCAAAGCACTTGTGAAACACTTTTAGCTGCAAGATTACAAGAGTAAACTTGAACTGAGGTTACAGAGAGGCCGCCAGTGTTGCGCCATTATTGTACAATCTGTCTGCTATTGATGGGTCATGTGCATTCACAAAAGCTTTTGTGAATTGTTGCTCTTTCTGAATAACATTACATGCCTGCAGTCTCGGCTCTGCAGTCCTGAGCAGCCTGTGGTCAGCTGTGGTTGTCTTGGCATCTGGCAGATGGGGACCACTCACGGTCAGAGAATTTGGCTGGGGTGTAAGTGGGGGACTTGAATGTGTGTGTGTGTGTGTGAACAGCTGATGTAGTTTTCAGGGTCTTCAGTCATGGCTGGTAATGTGTTGTCCTAATCACCTGGCATTCTGCCTGATAAAGCAGGAGACATTTAGGAAAACTTCATTTACAGCACTGCCACCTCATGCAAGTTGAAACAGCTAGCTGCTACCCAGGGCTCACTTTTTAAAACCCAGTATTGTGAGTTGTTGTTATTGCAGTACCCCTGGAGGCTTAGAGTAGTCGTTCATCTGAGTGTTTGTGAAGCTGAATTATATTTGACATTCATGCTCCAGCACAGAGTCGGGTCCATAGACAAACTAATAGTGGATGCTAATGCCTAGTGAACCGAAGAGAAAGGTAATCCGGATTTTCCATTTGACAAGACATGGTTGTGGAGTGTAGTGTGTGTTTGCACCCCTATCATGCCTGCATTTTTGCGAGTCTGAGAGAGAGTCTGGCTGCCTCGCCTGAGGACCTCTTTGGCCAATAGCCTGACAAAACCAGTGGTTCCTGTGCAGCACTGGACTAATTCCTACAGCTCTATCCCCGTCTACCAAGGAAGTGGGACTTTATATTCCCTCACCTCCTTGTGACATAACACACAGAGATGCACACATACAGTATGGCTGCACTGTGGCCTGCACCACATCTCAAGACGCTAGATGCATGTCAGCAGCTGCATTCATCACCACCTAGAGCCAGCAGCTATCGCTGCTAGTTTATGAGAACCTCCGCCAGGGCCTAAAGGCCTAAAGGCTTTTCTAAGGATTAAGGGGGCTTCAGACAGGGCTCTTTTCTATGGCCCTGCTGCACAAATAGAGATCTTAAAAGATGATACAGGTGTGTTCGCTAGTTTAAGACCTTAACTACAAATATTTCACAAAAGTTCTTTTTAAAAAAGTGCAAAATTATAGAATTGTACAGCAAATCCTGATTATTATGAACAATGAATGTTAAATTGAAGCTAAATGAAGAGTAGTAAACAGTGCCGTTATTTTAATTATTGATTATTCTACTGATTACTTTCTTGAATAATCGTTTCTAAAATGTCAGAAAATTGTGAAAACCTCATCACAGTTCCTCAAAACCTGAAGTTTACATATTTAGATTTCTAAAAGACAGCAGTATGGTTTAGTTGTGATGTAATAAGATGGGCAGTGGAGGGCCAGGGCGATGTGCTGCCAAATGTTGGGTATATAAATTAGAACAAGTCTTCCTTTTTATTTGAGATCAGTGATCAGAGAAATATTGTGTTGTATGAAGCCGAGTTGAATTCAGAACAAAAACAGTGGACACATTCATGAGAAACCGAGTCATCCCCTATATTCTCAAACAATGCTTGTTTACCTATCTCACATTATGTGCCTGGCTCGAGTTACTGGATGTAACACATTAAGCTCGCAAATCACTAAACCCTTTCCTAATCCGCACAGACATGTTCACTGATCAATCTTTAACCTTGGTGTTTCAGCCAGAACAAACAGGGTGGTCTCGAAGAATGCATGGCGTCAGCTTAGCCAAGCGGCAGTGTAACTCATCGATTCCCTCATCCTTGACTGAAAGTGCAACAGGGCATTAACTAGGCCAGCCGTGCCCCTTCTGGTCCCTGAGCAGGGAGCAGTCCCCATCTTGTCTCTTGTCTTTGTCTACAACAGTCTGTCTTGTGCTTCCTTTCTCTTAAAGTCATGTTTGGTTTACTAATTGTATTTTGTTTCGAGGAGTTTCTCCCCCACTGAACTCGAGTTGGCAGTCTCCAAGAGATGTCTATTTTTGGTGATGGCGGGTGAGGGGGTGTCAGGGGGTTGACCTGCTGGTGGTGGGGCTGTGCAGTGATGGGATGATAGGAGATATGTTTGTCAGGGAGAAGTTCAACTTAAGTTTTTAAGACAATTGTCAGCTGACATCCTGTTTGCCACAGCTTGAAAGAGTTAGTAAAATTGTCTTTTTAAAGGGACACTCCACTAATTTGACATGTCGGCGTCGGCTTACAAATGACAGGAAGTGCTCTACATCCTGAGAGGCCAGTGGGAAAATGTCCTGTTTGGCACTGGAGGAGGGATGTCACATCTGAAGAAATGAGTTTAATCTCACTGTGGGCTTGGAGACTACACATTTTAACAGAAAGCATGTGTTACTAAATGGTGGTGTGACGTTTGAAAGGTGTGGGTGTTTGCCAGACAGAAACCTAATGAAAGACATGCTCAAGTTGCATTTTGGGAAGTGTAGGATCCAGTGTTTTTGGAGCTTGGCACATACTAGGGGGTGTACAGATTTGAATATTCTGGCATCTGCTGCAATTATTTTGACCAGTGGTTTTAATTGTTCTGTTTTTGTACTATAACTTCATTGACGGTGTAATCCTACATCCTACCCCAACAGTCCTATACTCTACTGACATCACCATAGATGTACTTAGTGGTAAGAATGATGAAGTTACTTTAAATCATGAGATCCTATCTGGGTTGAGTGCATTTCTGAGATGTTAAACTTTAAGGATTTTGAAAAATCTGGCACCCAGTCTGAATAACATTCAAAAATCATGAATCTATAGTGGCTGCAACCACAAACTATGGCCTCAAATTTACCATGGACCTGAATCTTTTGAAAACAGCTTTAACAAAACCACTCCAGCAGCACTCAGAATGCTCACTTGAGTAAGTCTGTCTCCTTTTGTGTCCTCAGGTTCCTGATGTGTGATGGTGGCCGTGGCCAGCTGTGACGGGCGTTGCTGATTGCCTCTCATGTCCAATTAGAAACCAGGAGGACTGACCTGACCCCAGCTCTCTGAGCAGCGTACCGTCGGTAAATTTATGGCTCGGACTTCACGACCACTGATTTCGGCAGGCAAGGTGTAAATCTCACCTCGCCACCGAAGCAGTGTGGCTCTCCCTCCTGGCACCGAGTCACATTTGAAAGTGTAGATTTGTGGAAAAAAACTGTGAAAGCCCAGTTTTATTTATTTTTGGGGAGACAGTATCACACTGCCAAAGACATCTGCTGGAATGAACATAATCACACCAAGATATATTGACAGCGAGTCAACTTTCATCTGTGTGTGTTTTAGAAACAGAAAATGTTTTGAAAACAAACCCAGAATTGGAGAATTGGATATCTGTGGGATAAAAGTCTGTGTGGTCTTGGCATCACGGAGGCAAGTTTGAAAAGCTGAAGAGGAACAAAAGAAGCATGTTTTGTGTGTACATGTGTTTCTACCTTAGTGTGTGTGATTTTACGGGTGTGTGAACGTGATCCCCTGTGTTTTCATTAGTGCACAAGGTTCGTGCACGGAGACCATGGCAACCTCACCCCTTCTCTTTGCATCCCTCTTTCCCCTCTGTCTCTCCCAGGCAGCAGCAGCCTCATGGGCCTCAGGACATACTAGATCCCAGCCTCCATCACACATCAAGCCCCCCAAACTCTTTTTTTTAATTTTTTTTTTTTTTTTATTATATATAAATACTGTTACATACTCAAGATTTACCGGCAGCGCTTCGGCTACACCTCCTCTGACACCTCTATGAAGGGTAGTGGGCATGAACGACAAAGGCGCACACACCCTTTGTTTACTAGCTGACTGCATTGCCTGTGTAATGTTAGCAGGTCTCTTGCTTTGCATTCTGTATATGCAAGTACAAAGACTGGAGCAGAAACACATTATATGCAGCCGCCTGGCACGGTCAGACATCTGGAAGTGTGGCTGAAGTGCTGCTGGGTAATATTATTATACTAGAATTATTACTAGTGTGTATATCATTCATATTAATGTTATTATGATTATTAAATACACGTTAAAGCATGAATTTGCAAAAAAAACAAAAAACAATGCTGTACATTTTTAGATATTTTAAAGAAATACAAAAAGGTATTTTTGTAATCAAGGCAATGTTTGAAATGTTTTGAGTGGTTTGTTTGTGTTGTGCTAACGTGTGTGAGGGACATTTATATTATGTTTTGTTTGTTTGTTTTTGCCATTCCTGTTTTGTGCCATTATAAAATGGTAAGTTGCCCTCCCATACCAAAGCAGTCCTATTGGTTTTCCCTTGTCTTTTCTACCTACTGTGTGCATTTAGGTTTGTGAGGTTTTTTTAGTGGTGTCTTTACCAGACAAAGCAAACAAATAAGTTTGTTGTCTGAGTGCTTTGGTTCAACTGAGCAGTCAATGTCAAGCTTGAGTGACAAAAACATGACTCCTGCTCATAATTTTACAGTTGTGTTAAAAGAGTCCTTGACAGGAATAAGCCATGACTGGTGAAGGTACAGTGACCCCAGAGAGCGCAGTACATGGCAAACTGAGCCCTGCTATAATTAGGAAGTTGCTTCTTCCTCGTGTAGCAGGACAGCAGCACAGTATAGAGAAACAGAAGACCACAAGCATTGTTTTTACACTGGAGAACTATCAAGTTGTTCCGTTTTTGACTGCTTTGTAGTCTTCAGTCTGATTTCTTATGAAGTATGACGTTATTTTTTGCTGCATGTCACTTTTGGTGTCACTCTGCATCTGAAAGGACATTCACTTTCAAGCAATTTGTCTCTCATCTATTTTTAGGGAGCCAATGTGATTCAACCTGCTTTTGTAAATTCAGATTTTAAATACCAATGATCGGAGAAGGGAAAAAAAAAGTTTTGTAATTTTGTGTATTCTGGGCTGGCAATAACATCTTTGTTGTATGACATATCATCAAGTGATTATATTTCTGTGACATTTGATGCCAAAATTCTCATTCATGTCATATTCTTACAAAAACTAACCATGATACTTGTACTTTTCTGATAAGGCTAAGTCCCATTTCACAGGGATGTGAGAAAATAACAATCCTCCCTACATTTTTGCCCAAGGATGTACAATCATATTGGACTGGTTGAATCATATAGTCAGTGTTTGTAATGAATAATAATAATATGCACATTACAGCAACTGATTTTCTGAAGCAGATTTTGCTTTTATACACATTTTTAAGCCAAGTGTGGCACCAAATTTATTAGAAGTATTTATAAGGTGTGTGTGTGTTCTTATGGGTATTATGTTTTTTAAATCCATAGAGGATGCCCATCATATAATTCAGTGTAAGTATTACTGTAAGGTTAATTGTGTATTCATTTGGTAATATTTCTAGAGCTTCTTTTTGTGTTTATATCTGACTGATTGGAACCTATTGTGTGTGAGAAATTAATACTGTTTTATCTACATAATTCACTGTGAAATGAAGAAGAAGAAGAAAAAATGAATTGATCTTTTTGTGTTTTGCCAGCAGTACGGTACAGAAGTTCCAGAAAATTAATCTGATCCCTGTTTGTCAACGACAAATACTTTTCTTGTTTCATTGTACTGTGTGTGTGTGTACCTGTGTGTTCTGTGCATGTTCACAGCACGTGTGTGTTCTCTTCTTAATGCATACAATGCTGTCAATATTTATGTAGCCGCTGTAAGGAGAAACTATATTTCAGTGAATTGCAGGGGTTTGTTTGAAACAAACAAAAAAGTGATAAAAAATGTTTTTATGAAAATGTTAAATGAAGACATTTCAGGCTATCTGCCAATTAAAGACTGATGCCACCCTTGTTGTCGTGATGGCATGTTTTTCTTCTTTAAGAGTGTTGTTGTAGTTGTGCTTCATGAATCTTAGTTTCATTCTGTAAACAGCATAACTGACAGGTGAAGCACTGGAGGCCAAAACAATTTGTAGCCTACAAAAGAATTAACCTGTAAGAAAAGATCCAGGTGTTAGAAAACACCTGGATCTTTGACAAAAAAATTAAAAAGTACAGGCCTGTACAGTAACTTTCTTGGTTTTTGGTCAGGAGTTGATTTCACAGCACAGGTGAGATCATTAACATGTAGCTACACTAACATGAACCTTTGGTCATTTTAACAGACAATGTGGTGAAAACTGTGTAAAGTAAAATTGTTATCCTAAAGGGAGTGTACTCCCTGCACCCTCACTCGGTCATTCCGTCTGCCTCTAATCACACCATGAAAGGAGCATCTTAAAATGTCACTAATTATTCCTTGATTTGTCCGTTGAAAGCAGACAAAGTGTGTTAAATCTAAATTAAGGTGTTAGTTGTGTACCTACAATCACTCATTTTCCCTTTTAATTGAAAATGTGGGAAATGCATTAAACCTTTTCAAAATCCATTAAAATGTTAGATTGCTTTTTTTTATGTTTGACAAAATGCTTTATTAAGCTTTCCATGAAATGTTTTTAAACTGAACTCTGTGAGTGGTTAAGTCCTTGTACCTTCAAATTAATTAATAAATTTGAAATAGCTTTACTAATCCACAAAAGCAACTGGTGGAAGAGTGATTTGCCTACTGTGTGCATGCTCAGAAACTGGCCAGGAATGTGGGATGATGGGAATCACAGTTCAAAAAAGGGCACAAAGAAGAACAGAGCTTCTTGATTAACAACAGAAGAAGAAGGTAGAACTGTGGATGTTGGTGAGCAGGACAAGATTATCATGAACTATGCTTCTTAAACGGGTGTGTTCTACATTTTTTATTCTATGTGTTACAATGACAAAGGATTATTTTATCTCATATTTCCTGAAGAGTACAAAATATGTGCTTTACAGGGCAGACAGGCTGTGGCAGACAGAGAAGAGTAATTTTATTGTATTTGCATGTGTCCCTTCAATTTGTCAGGTTGCAGTACGTGGCAGTAACCAGTACAAAGTTAGACCTCCTTAGATGACGATATGCATTTAACAATACCAATATCAAGTTCATTTACAGTCATGGCCAAAAATATTCACACCATTTCTCTCTGAAATTTGTCACAATCACAAATTCTTTGCTGTTTTCATGTTTATTTGGACTGGATAGATTATTGACACCCTTAATTTAATATTTGGTAGCACACCCTTTGGACACACCTCTATACTGGAATTTTGGACCACTTTACTTTTGCCAATTGCTCCAGGTCTCTCAGATTTAAAGAGCGCCTTCTCCCAGCTGCTGTTTTGAGATTGCTCCACAGGTGCTCTATGGGATTTAGATCTGGACTCGTTGCTGGCCACTTCAGAACTCTTCTTGACAATGATGCGCACAGTGGACACAGGAACAGCAGGATCTCTGGAGATGGATTTGTAGCCTTGAAATTGTCCATGTTTTTCCAGTGTTGTGGTTCTCAAATCCTCAGACAATTCTTTACTCTTCTTTCCTTTTTCTTGCTCAGTGTGGTCCACACTACACAAAGGTTGAGTCCATGTTTCTCAATTTTAACCGGTTGCAAGTGTGATTTCTATATTACAAGCACCTGTGATTGCTATAGGCGAGTTTCTTTTTGAATTAAAGGAGCATCACATGCTTGAAATATAACTATCTCTGATGATTTTGAAAAGGTATCAATAATTCTGTCTAGTCCATTTTTGGAGTTCTGTGTGGAATGGATCAGATTTGGCCTTTTTTCTCTGTTGTTTTGTGTTGTTCCAATGCAAATAAAAGAAATAAACATGAGAATACCAAAGAATTTGTGAACAGTTATCTGGGAGAAGCGGTGCATTATCTGACAGAAATGCAGGGGTGTCATCATTTTTGTCCATGACCAGTTATGATGCCAGTGTTGTTAAATTACATCCATAAGTAAATGCATAGTTATTTTATTATGCGCTGTGTGGTTACTGTAACTTGATATCTCTGATTACCTAATGGTTGTAGGTAGAAGCAGAGTTTGCTTGCATCTCCCCTGTTCAGCTGAGACCGAAGTTCATGCACCTAGGTCACCGCTCTCCTGATGATGACAGGAGTTTTCTGAAGGGAAGGTGGAGCAGCTGGAGAGACATTAACAAATATTATGGAAAACAAGGTATGTTTTTCTAACAAACATGTTCATTATGAGTTTGTCGTTTATTTTTATATATTTGTGTGCACGTAGGTCTCTAGGTCAGCTGATGTTTGTTAAAATGGTTAAAACAATGAAATGGCAATGAAAATACAGCAGTTTTGGTGAGTATGGTCCATCTTTTTATATAGTATAACAGCCATGTGTCAAATGAAAGGAAAACCCAGCATAAAGTGTCTCAGCCTGTTTCACCCTTTAGTGATCCTTTGAACGCCTCCCAGTTAGCCACCAATGTTTCCTGTTAAGCTAGCTAGCTATGGATGCACATGTACATGCACTCTCCCTTTGAATGCTCTCCTGATACACAAATAAATGTATGCACAGCTAGGATCTTTGCCCTGGACATTCACAGAAACACTCATAAAAACAGAGTAGGGGAAGAAAATAAATTGTAAAAAATACAATTAAAGTAAATAAATAAATAAAATATGTAAATTATATTAAATTATAAATATAATAATACACATGTTTGTGTAGAAAAATAAAATTACTATGAAAAATAAAGAGAAGACAAAAATAGCTTTGTCAGCCGATTAGAGAAAACTCTTCTTTTTTTAAATTACCAACTGACTGGTCCCTGTAGTCAATTTTTTGGCTCCATACTTGAAGACAATGTTGTCTAGATTTTGACATTGGGAATGCACTTAGAAGTTGTCTTAGAAATCTACCTGCATCAAGCTCGTTTCCTCTTTTTCTGACTCTTGTCATTGAATAACACCTCCCCTGCAATCCTGGGAGGCCATCAAAACATGATGTGGAATCCTATAAAGTGGTTTGTGTAGCAGGGGAGCTGGAGACCTCTCTCTGCCCTCTATAAGAATAGCCCACCTATCTCAGGGACAAGCTACTCCTGAGGCCACAGCCAATTTAGTTTCTCTCTTTACTGCCTCCGCTCTTTTCTGTCTGCTCAGTCACACCAGGTGGCACACACCGGCTTCTCACATGACATGCACTCGTCATGCCTGGGGCTATTCACACAGGGTGTCAGAGCAAAGTGGGGGTGAAAAGTGCTTGTGTGTACGTGTGTGCAGGCATAGGAAAGATATTCATCTGGGTGCATGAATGCATATGCCCAACTGGCAACACTTTGTAATGGTGATACTCCTGTTAACAAGTCCATTAAAAAGGTGTTTCTGTCTCCTTTCAGTCATCCCTTTTCCAGCTGCAGCTGTAGAAGTGTCTATGCTAAAGAGTATCTACATTTTCTCTTCAAATGATCTAAAATGCAAGTAAATTTAAAATCTTCAACCTCCCAGCTTTCTTCATTACTCAGGCACAGTGAATGGCATATGCCAAAATGTCTGTGTAGTTGATTACAAAATAACACACACCATACTCAGTTTATTACTTATGTTTTCAGTGATTTGAAGTTTTAATTAAAAAAACCAACATTGTGTCCCATTTCAATAGTTTTATTTAAAAAAACACCTAATTTCCTTGCTTGAGAATGCTCTGTTCAAACTTCAACTCAAGATGTGTTACATCTTAAATGTATGCCAAATTTTTAACAGCTTGTATTGCAAACAATTAGAATGACTGGGACTTGTCAAATGGGGGGTGCCAGTGGAGTGGCCAGCAATTTTAAGATGGTGGCCATGGCCCCCCCCCGACCACCCCTTGGGGGCACCATTGGCTGTAGGTAGCGTGGTGTTATGAGCTAAATGCTAACATGCTCAAAATGTCAAGGCTAACATGCTAAAGTTAAGCGTATGCTAACACTTTAATGCTTTAATGTTGTTTACCACAGTAACAATCTTATTTCAGTTGCTAATGACCAATAAACACAAAATCCAGCTGAGGCTGATAGGGAATGGCTTAATTTTGCTGGTATTTGGTCATCAGCCAATTAAATTTTGACCTGATGTTTGCACTAGAGGAACCATCAAGAACTCATCAACACATTCTTACACACACATCCTGTGGAAAATGCAAACGTGTGCCTCAAATTTACCAAACTACTCACAGACTAATTCTACTAATCTATCAGGGTATCACCAGTCATTAGATACTGTATGTCTGGGAATTATGATAAATGTTAAATATTTGTGCCAGCCCATTAACTAAATGTTGTAATCACAGCCTTTCCAGACAGCATAGACTGATGGCAGTCTGTTCAGCAGATATTTGATTTGGTTAAAAATAGGTCTAGATATTTGAGTCTGCTTATTAGCTCCTAGCAGAGAAGAAATATGTTGGACTCTCCTGATGACACAGAGTTTTGATTTAGTGGTCATGTAGCTGCAAATATCTCCCCACTTTCTCCTGTCTAACAAGGTCCAGTGCATAAAAAGACCCCTCCCTCGTTCTGTCCTGTTAATTATCATCAGACATCTTCAACATCTCCATAAATCCTAAATAAGTCCCCACTCTCTAGACATTTGAGAATGCTCAGGTTCAGTATTCAGCACTGAGTAACCGGTGACTCATCACTCAGCAGCCTGCACAGTGTCTGCCAAAGTGTGCACAGTCATTGTCAGAATAGTGATTGGCCAAAGGGTGTGTGTGTGTGTGTGTGTGTGTGTGTGGGGGGGGGGTTCTTCTTGGAAATACAGTACTGCCCACCGCGCTGTTGGTGTCTTTTGTGATTGTTGCTCTTCCAGATAAGCTGATGACTTCAGAATGACTCAGTGAATTTGAGGAGACTGAGGAGTCTTTTCTTCCTGCCCTGTCCTTTCTGCGCTCCTCTAGCCCTGCCGTGCAGTCTTTTCTCTGTCACTGTTTTTCCTCCTCCTCCTCTCTCATCCATAGCTTCCACCTCCCTTGGGTGGGCCCCCTCACCCTCAGTCTCACAGCAATCAAAACACTGAAAAGGCTAACTCTCCCATTGCTTTCCTGTTGCTCACTGGTTCCATGTTGCTATAGTCTACTTTGATTCCAGATGAGTGTAGAAATTATTGTTTTAATAATCTGAGCTAAGATCTAATAGTTGTGTAGATGTGTGTGTCTGTCTGAAATAATAGGGTGTGCGTCATATAATAACTTGGCTGAGGATGACATCATAGTCTTTTTATGAGAGGAAATAAAGAGCACCACAGCGCTGCCCTGTGGTGATGAGATAACGGTGCAGCATCCGTGTACAGTGCAGGACACTGTTCTCACAGTCGGTGGCAAAAGATTCTTCACTTGGAAGTAGCAGCTCCGCAGTGGAAGCATCAAAATATTTTGAGTAAAGGCAGAATACTGGCAAAAAGTGCACATAAAGTAGAAGTACTCTACTTTGCCAATGTCAGTTTCAGTGTTTTATTAGTATATTGTTGGCTCACACTGTACCTATTGATGTATTATATAAGAAGCACTCAGTGGTGTAGTTCAACTCAGGGTTGCATCAGGAAGGACATCCGGCGTAAAACACATGCCAAATGTCAAAATGCGAGTCGTCAGTGTGACGATTCGCTGTGGCGACCCCTAAAGGGGAAAAGCCGAAGGTGACTTTCTTTCACTCAGTGGTGTAGTTGGCCACAGTTGAGATCATTTTAACAATTTTATATACAATAAAGATTCATCTACAATAAGAAAGCATGTTTTAGCTAATAATATCTTTTTTTTTTTTACAAAAAAGGAGGAGTCACAAATATTATTAGATTACTAGTAACTAGTAAGAAGTACTCAGATCTTTTACTTAACTAAAAGTAGCAATACCACAGTGTTGAAATACAGTTTCAAGTAAAAGTCCTGCATTCAAAATGTTAAATAAGTAAAAATGCAAACATATCATTTAAAAAAGGTCATGAAGAATGACTCGTTTTCACAATAATACATATTCTGTTATTGGTTTATAAATACAGATGTGTTAAGTATGCTTCATGTTAGTGTCGCAGCCAGTAAAGGTGTTTTTTCATGTATTTTGACGATTTGCATGTGTTTGACGTTGCAGTGCGTTGAGCTGTCAGAGGCCACCGTAACATTGTGCAGAAATATGCTGAATGGGTGTTTTGTCAAAAAAACACATCCAGTATAGTCTATAATATTGGACACAATTACAGTCTTACTAAAAGTATTGCTAACATACAAACTGAAAGCACAAAAGTCACCTTTGTAGATCCAAACACAAAGAAAGGAGACCAACACAGGTTTTTTTTCTTGCACTAAATTGCAGGCTCACAGTCCTAGAGCCTTACATCATCTCAGGTGTCTCAGAGGACTTCACTCCTCATGGCAGGTTCAGGAGCAAACTAGTGTTTAAAGCAGCCCTGCCTCTGCCAGATTAGCTTTGTGCACACTGGGCTTGTATCTCCATGAAAGACAGAGCAACTCAGGTCTCAGTGGGAGGCTGCAATCAATTGACGGCACCATCTAGCTGTCGGATCTGGATGGATCTCTAGGGATGATAAGACCATCCCTGTTTATTAGTTATCAGCTGTGTTCAGATGAGATTTTCTGGTCCATTTTATATTTTACAGTGGCTTTTGTGAATCCCCTAAAAAAGAGACACACTCTAGGGATAGGCACTGGTTCATACTGAAATAATACTGATATGATCACATAACTTAACAGACGTCTGTCATCTATATTAATGATACCAAGTAAGTCATTAAAAGTTTTGTTTTGTGTTTAAACACATTTGTCTGATGTGATGAGCTGAAACACCAGTGCACAGAAACCATGTTTTTCTGCATATTTTGTGACACAAGCCACTTCATGCCAGAAAAAGTAAAAAATAGTCAGTCATGATAAAAATTAAAAGCTGAGTCAAAAGTTGAACTTTTTATCTGGCTTTTTTTTTCATTTGTCAAAATATCTGACTTTCTATAAGAGTGTATACAGCTCATGTTTTTCCCTTCTTAGCAGAAATAGGCTTCCATACTTTGGTCCAACCTCTATATAAACATCGTAGAACTCCCCCTGTCTTAATGATAATCTGCTCTATTCGTTTATAAAACATAGAATTCACATAAGTACCAGGACCTTGCTGAACAAAGTGGTATCCCAATATTTTAACCATGCAGCAGCCTCTCTATCAAACAGGAGCCTCTTTTTTGCCCTAAAATTCCTTGATCTTAACCCAAAAGAGTGTTAAACCACAATTAAATAGCATTTTCACTGGTCAAGGCATTCCAGCTTTCCTACTGAATGAAGTGTATGTGGTGCAGGTGTAAGGTAATATTAGACAGATGTCTCCCTCTTGTGACCAGAGAAGCTCAGTGCAGACACACTTTCCATTTCTCTTCATAAAGACAAAGAAGGAAACCTCAGGAGCGTGTTTACCACAGAATGAATGGCATTCTCCACAACATTTCTTCAGATCTATCATGTCTGAAACCCTCATTTCCCTTGTTCTATTCAGACCACATGAGAGCACAAGACCCTGCTGTCATCACGTGGTCAGACCAGAGTCACGCAGTGTGTGATAATGTGATATCTCCTCAGAAACCTCTTTATCAAGGCAGCAATTATGAAGTTATAAAGTGCTCATTAAATGTAATCACTGCACAGATTCAGCTGTTGCTGAAATGTATTAAGAATAACCCCAATATTAGACTCATGTTAGACATTCAATTGCTTTATTGTTACAGACTATTTAATATAAAAGAACCATTAGGGCAAATTGACTTATTTCCCAGCGGGTAAAAAACACATAAAATCGAATACATTTCCAGTTATGGGTCATTATTCTTGTGCTACTTTGAGATACTTTCTATTACCAAACTCAGTTCTAGCATGTTGTTTTGAGACAGTCAACATTATGGTCAAGTAAGGTAGTCCTGCTGTTGGAGACATTTAAAGGAACAATTCATCCAAAATACAGAAAACATGGTGTCTCTTTTGCCTCTAGTTGTATCCAATAATGCTGATATATTTTTATTTTCTTTGCTCAGGTGTGTTATTTTATGAAGACGTTTATTGAAACAAAAGTGCACAAATGAATATGTTGCACCAGAACCTAACTGACCTTCCAGAATTCTACTGAATACATATTTGCCCCAGTTATAAAATATCTTTCAAACCTCTTGATTTGTTTGTGACCAAAGTTTTATACATTTTCTACACTATTCGCACAGAATGGCTCAAGCTCGTATCCCCTTGTAACCCTAACCCTATACAACTGAAATGAGACAAATACAGTAAAAATAAATGAAAACAAAGAGACAAAACACAAAAACATTCACCCATTTACACAGTATTCTTTTTGGTATAATCCCCTTTTTTACACAGTATTTGGTGTAGTGCTCCATCTAGTGGACGCCTGACATAGTTGCTGTTCACTGCACATCCTTATTAGGAGCCCAGTGGAGAGTCTCCTGTTCATGCTATGAGTTCTCAGCTACAGGAGTTGCACTTTTGGGACTCAACCCTTTGCCTCAATTAAGTTCACACCCACTCTGAAGTATGAGCACTATTTATTCGTACAGTAAATGTCACACGTTTGCACAAGTATTTAAAAGCAGACTCCTAAGATTGTCATTACAACAAAATCTAAGTCTTCATCTTCTACTAGGTTTGGTTGGCATTTGATAGTGACTTCAGCTGCCTTCCATCCAGACTGATCTTACCACTGCTTGCAACAGCTGTCTGCAGTCAAGAAAAGCCTAGATGCATACATACTGTAAGAAAAAACACAATCCTGTCCTAAATATATCCTCGTTTCCTCTGGAGACTAAGTGCAAGTCAATATTATTGAGTTTCAGCATTGAGGCAATATTTGACTTTCAACTGAGCCTCAGACTGTAGAGAAAGCGAGCATTCATTCACACTGTATACAAATAGTTATGAGGCGAGCACATGACACAGCGTTGACAAATAGCCTGCACATTATGCTGAATGAGAAACACTGTTTCACAGCGGGGAAATGATATAATTGACCCAAAATTAGGAAAGAATGACCTAAAGCACTTTGTGAGTGCCAGTGGAAGGCAGAATACGTCTTCTCAAATGAAACAGGAGCTCAGCGGTCCAGCACATATAAATACAGTGATTTATGCAGAGAATTTAAAGAATTAGAGCAAGTCCATTTGGTAGTGAGATTTGGCTTTTGGAAGAACATCACAATAGCAAGAGTAAAATGATTTAATTCATCAGGAGAGGCTTTATTATTCATATAAATAATTATTTTCTGCACGGTTTGACGATTTCAATGTCTTACAGAAAAGTCACAACATTGTTAAAACTTCTTCAATCCATAATAAAAATTGCAATCCTCAAAAATTACAATATAATCCAGGTTAAAAACAAATCCTTAATTGTTGGCTGTCTTCTTGGAATCAGCCTCTCCCCTATCTTCCCTATTCAGCTGTTCACCTTTCTGTATTTATTTCCTGCATCAACAGTGCATTCCAGCTCTGAGAGGGGGATTACACACTTGGCTTGGCCTACATCCTACAGCCTCTGCTGGGACTGGTGCTGCCACCCACCACAGGACAGGACCTCAGCTGCTTGCTCCGGGGCTACCAGCATGGTGTGTTTATAAATGATCCTGGACCAGGCGCCGCACAGTGCAGGCCCTCGACACAACCCTGGTACAGCCTACACACAGTGCACCATGCATGCAACCATCATGTAGCTATTTCTGTACTTCCATGTGTTGTTGCACTTCCAGTCCTTGACTGAAAGTAACTGGTGATAAAACCTGGCTGTGCAACAGCCAGGACGGCATGTTCAATCTTCGGGAATATAATTTAAATTTGATATTTATTCTCCCTCAAGTGGAAATCTTGACCTGATGGTAGTGCTAGAGGAAAGGTCAGTAGGTCAGGTATGTATTCCTGTTACACTGACAAAGTCAATAAGGTAATATAACATGGGACAGCACATTGGCACTGTGGCTAGTGCTGTTGCCTTACAGCAAGGAGGTTCTGGGTTGGAGCCCAGGCTGACCCGGGGCCTTTCTGTGTGGAGTTTGCATGTTCTCCCTGTGTCTGCATGGGTTCTCTCTGGGTGCTCCAGCTTCCTCCCACAGTCCAAAGATATGCAGCTTAGGTTGAGTGGTGATTCTCAATTGCCCGTAGGAGTGTGTGTGGTTGTGTGTGGTTGTTTGTCTACATGTCGGCCCTGTGATAGACAAACGACTTGTCCAGGGTGGACGCTGCCTCTCACCCAATGTCAGCTGGGTTTGGCTCCAGCTCCCCCGTGACCCTGTTCAGGAATAAGCGGTATAGATAATAGATGGATGGATGCACAGTAAAATCAGTTTCCTGACATGTAACCTATTTATCAGAGTGAGTTCACTATGAGCCATAGTTTCAGAGCAGCAAAGATGCGATTTCCCACCTTGAGCTCTGTAGATAAATAGAGTAAATATCAGCAGTTATTATGTCTCTCAGTGGGGAAAGACCAGCTGAACTTATTCAAGATTCAGTGCAACTCTAGTAATGAAGCTGAGAAATCTGTGGCTCTTAAGTATGAAGGTTTCAGCAATCATCTTCCTGCAGCTCTGTAAAGGAAGCAGTTTCTGTTTGTGCACACAAAGCCAAGAAATAGTTGCTGTTTAAAAGGGCTGACTACAGGATATTTAAGAAAATACATTTTAAAAATAAAATAAATTTCTTATTTATCTATACTGTATGAAAGTATGCATGCTGCTGAGGCTGTTCAGCGCTACAAACCTGTATAGTCGACTAGGCTGCTGCTGACTCCAGCTTCCATACAGACCTGCCCCCCCATGACATTTCCCATACAAGCCAAACTGCAGCTTGTGTGCTGAAGAATGTCAAAGAAATCGCTTTGGAGATTTGGGGCTCAGCAGATTTGCTCCTGTACCAGTCAGACAGCAAACTCGGTGGTTGGTAGCCTGATTCATGTCTTCAGCAGACTCCACGCTGTGGTTTAGTTAAGTTACACAATTTTTAATGCCTGTTAGTTTAATAATTGCTTTGCATTTTAATATAAATACATCCATCTGCTATTGGCAGTCCACTGACTATATGCCAAGTGAAAAAGCACTTAAACTCCCAAACACTAATTGTATATCTATATATATGGTCCTTTAAAACAGTACTAGTCCTACTTTACCACCTAAGTAGGTGCTCAGAGTTCAGCAATAACAGTAAAACATGAAGCTATAATTCCTGCTTGATTGAAGAGATGTTAATTACAATCATCTCATCACCTTTGGCTGATTTTAATTTGCAGTTAGTGCTTTTGACCCAATTTTGTTTTAATGGAGGTGGCATTTTCAGCAAAGTTCAGATGACTGAAATGTCTCAGCAGAGGCAGCACCTCCAGTTTTATTTCCAGTTTCATTTTACTGTATATTTAACTGATTGCTTAAAATTTCAGTGCCACTGACTGTTATGTTTCCCATGACAACTTAACACCTTCTCTTCCTTAGCAGCTGTCCATGTATTAATTGCTCGATCCAACATATGGGCAAACAAACAGAGGCTTGTTCATGATGTGTGTGACTGTGGTGTAAACCTCCAGCCCAGTTAAACTGCTTAATTGTCATCAGTAGTTATCAAATTCTCCACAATTACTTTTCCACAGGGTGTAAGGTGACTGTCCTCCAGCATCCTGTAACTAATATTCTGTGACAGACCTCTTCATTCTCACATGTTTTTCTGATATCCTCGCAGCACTTCCCACCTAATCTTGACGTTTCCTCTCCACTCCACGGTGGCAGAGGGTTTTGTGCAGAGAAGGTGAACTCTAAGCTCTTAATTGCAGTGGTGTGTGTACGTTTTCCCACTCCCAGCCCCTTTTGTTTGCAGCAATGTGAGAGAAACAAAGGTTCCTTCTTTTACTCCCTGCCTTGACTCTCAGTGGTAGTGCAGGGACGAAGAAAGGATTAAGTCAACATTTCTCATGACCTCTGAGGCTTGGGGTTGAAGGGAAGCATGCACAGTGCTTACAATAGCAGGGCGTGTGTGTGTGTGTGTTTGTGTGTGTATTTATCTCCTGCCTAAGAATTAACAAAAAATTTCTTTTGTATTCAGCGCAATGATAAAATACATGATTTTCAAAACATGCTTCACAGACAGAACCATTCAATACCATTTTATCGCTCAAAACCTATTAGTGCATCTAAGCTTCAGACATTTCCTCAAAGCAGTAATGAAGTGTTAATATAATTCTGAACCGTGCTGCTCCAAAAATCTCTTCCACTGAGACTGAATGAGTCATAAAGCACAGAGCAGTCTGGTATAGTTAACTGTTGTTGTTCATTTGTTTCCCATTACAAAAGCTCCATTTTGGCTAATTAGTCGTGACAGTAACTTTTCCCTGCGGTGTTGATTAGATCTAATTAATGACTGAAGGCAAGAGGTAGGACCGATGCCCCGAAGGAGCTGTTTTCACACATCCCTGGGTAATTGAAGCTGTACTTTTTTGCCACAAATTCAAAATTATCCTCTATTATGTTTTTTTTTCTTATCGTTTAAAACTTTTTATTAATATTCTGTTCCCAATATGCAGTTCTACTGGTATTATAACATAATTTGGGGCGTTTTATGACCAGCAGAGATCAGTTTATTTTATGGGATGTCATTGTCCTGCTGTCAAGTTGTGACTTTCGAGCAAAGAACTGATCCCTCAACATTACTTCAGTACAGGAATATGAAGCTAGCTCCCCTGGTTAACAAGCAAAGTTTCTCTGGATTAATCAAATGGAAGTCAATAAATGCAAGAGTTTTTAAAAAAGGACATTTTTTTTTATTTATCTATTTTTTATCTATCAGTAAGCCGCTTTGACCCTTTTCTCCAACATCGCATCATACAATCATAATCCTTCTGTGGCAACTCATCCACAGCTGCCTGCCACTCTCCGTCACTCCTGAGGAGTTGATATCTTAAGGGGATTAGACCTGAAGTGAATGTCTCATAGGAAAACACCATGCCAAACTATGCATGTGGCAGGGGAGCAGATTGTCGGGATGATCTGATTAACAGTGCGAAAGCGTAGCTTATCTGCGATGACTTGAAACCTCCATACAAAAGCAGCAAAAGCCAGAAAGAGAGAGAGACAGAGGAGATGGGATGATTAAGGGGAAGACGGATTCGTCACGTATGTGCAACATCTGCCAACAAGATAGAGCAACACTTTTTCACCTTTTTAATAAGTAGCCAGGCTAGGAAAGTTGTTATGGTGGTGACTTTTTGTGCACAAAAAACGTGCATTTTGGAAGTCAAAGTATTGTCTACTGCACAAGCAAATGTAATGTAAAATTGTCTATTGAGTAAAAGAATTTTACATAACCATAAGTAAACCAACTAAACTTATTCTTCTAAACTTATGTTGGATGATGCAGCAACTTGCAGGCAATGCAGAAACACTGACATGCTGTTAATTGACAAGGCAAATGTCTTAGTTAACATTGGCTTATCTGATATGTCGGTCAGGAATTATGTTGCCAATTCAAGTAATTTAATTCAGTTCATTCATCACTGACTAGTGGAACAGTAAGTGAACACCTGTTTATTAGCTAGTCGCTAACTTTGTCTGTTTTTGGTGCTTTGCAGGCGACAGTGGGTGCATCATTGCTTTCATGCTGAAAACAGCGGTAACCTGTAAGGTTGCAGGCTGTGAAACCAAAACACTGAGTTGAAAGACACTAAAACATTCTGCAGAGCTGAGGAGACCTGCAAAGACAGATGAATATTGTCCAGGGATTTGCCATCCATCCATTATCTATACTGCTTATTCTGAACAGGTCTCCAGTCTATCACAGAGCTGACAATTAGAGACAGACAACCACACTCACTCCTAGAGTCACCACGAATTTGTCATGTACAGTAAACATTTGTTAGATTAGCTTTAGATTCAATCTAACAAAAACAAAACCCTGATATAAAACATTGTCATGGCAAATATGAACATATTTTATGTATGTATAAATGTAGCATCTTACAAGATAGTGTCTTTTTCTTTTGTGCTTTTAATATGATGTTGTATAATCTGCCATACAATCCAGTGCCCATGCATTTTGTTCACTTGATGTTAAACATGTTATTTAATGGTTGTCAGTGCAGTTTACTTCTATAAACCAATAGTTCATTATTTTCCTATTTTCTTCCATCAGTGCTGTTGGTCTCATTTGACAGAAATCACTTTATTTCTATGCAGGTACGAGTCATAATTCAGAGCAGAGTTCAGTATGCCTCCAGCCTCTTGGCAGATATAACGATATTTTCTACAACATGCAGTGTGTAATGACCGTATGGTTAGGGAGAGATATGGGGGCTCCCAGTGAGCGTAGCAGGCGCTGTTGTCAGTGTGCTTCCAAGTCCCTGATGTTTATCTGGAGATACTCTGGAGTCTCATCACGGACTTTCCTGCTTCCATCACCACCTGCTCGCGGAAATCCAAATAATTACCTGCGTGCTAATGTGGGTGGTGGTCCTTATCTGCAGCCAATTGTAATGAAGCATGATAGAATCACTGCCATTGCTCATGGCATTGCTCATTTCATCCAAGATGAAGAGGGGAGGGGAGCTCATTAAGGAGATAAATGTATCTGGATGGGTTGCTCAAACTGCTACGTCTCATAGAAAAGCTGTGTTGAATATTCCATATTTTCCTCTGTGATTTCACAGTAACTCATCTTCTTGCGTTGATTGTTAACAAGTAAAGGAGATGAAAACAAATCTGACTCGACTTGACAAGTTGACTAGTCACAGATCTCAAAGATGAACTAAGGTGCTACTGAACAGAGACAAACTTGTTTGTTTTGTTGTGAAAAGTGTAGCACTCATCTGTCACTTTAGGCTCTTTGACTTAAGCGACGTATTGGTGAGTAATGGTCTGTAAATGTGTCCATCAGTCGCATTCCTTTTGACTGGCATGTATTGATTTTAAAAGATAACCTGTGGCACTGAAAGGGGCTGGTTGGCTCTGTGGATGGTTTGTCAGTCAGCTCGTTGGTCCGTAACTGGAATATCTCGGCAAACTATTTAGTGGATTGCCATGAATGTTTTTTGTAGGAATCCTTCTGCCTTTTGTCTAGTGCCACCAAAATGTCAGTTTTTTGAGATAGAAGGCTCAAAGACAAGGGTGTACATTTTAGAATAATAATGGGAGTTGAGTACAACAATATGGAACTAAAGTTAAATGTTAGCACACTGCGTATGCTTTTACCCTTTGTTCTTATTAAGGTGAGGGTGCTAGAGAATAACACTGACCCTAAGATTCTAGATGACCAAACAGTGCTCTAAAATCATTTAATGACTATTTCTATTGTCTCAACAAAAGTTTAAACCAGGGGGGAACTGTGTCCATGTTATGACAGAGTGACAGGACACCTCGGGCAGATCTGGTCCATCCTGTTCCTGACGTATCTCCCCACCTGTTAAAACCCTGCTCCTCCCACCTCTCTTACTGCCCAGCATGACACACATTGCAACAATGCCGACCCTTCCTCAAGCACAGGGGAAACATTTGGGGATTATGATGTTAGTTTTTCAGAGTCAATCACCTAGAAAATAGAACCGCTGAATGGGTGCCCAGACCAATATACGGTCACTTAGGCACAGGCGACTGACCAAAGAGCACAGTCAGGTGGAAGCAATATGGGCATGCTGGGAGCTGAGAGTGTGAATCAAAACTGTGTGGAACAATCTTTCTCTCGGTTTTAGATATGTGCACAATAGTGGCCAAACTGGCAGGAGTCAGCTGTTACTTGCAGAAGCAAAGAAAAACAAGTGGTAGTGACTGTTTTGATTGTTGTTGTATTGTGCAGCGGCATAATTTTTGTCACATGTTGATGTAGAAGGTGATGAGATGTACTCTACATGCGCTCCTGATTCTGATGAGCCTGCTTACACTTAGTTTTATCTACCATTATTATTCTCACAGCTGTAAATTATTCATGAGCCTGGGGTCTCTCTTGTGTCGCCTGCAAAACTCAAAATCACATTTTGCATTTTGTTCACTTACTTCCAAGTCATGACATCACACATACTGCGATAGATGGAAAGTGCTGCTCATCAGCGTTCAGCAGAATTTATTCAGAGGATAACTGAGGACATAGATGCTTACAGTGTGCAATGCCTACATTTGTTATTGAACTACACAGAATATTTTGATGCAGTAAACTCGAATCACAATTGAATGTAAAGTTTAAATAAATGTGGATTAGCACTGTTTGATTATTGTTATCGCATGCCTCTACTGATGCACCTACACACTACTTACAGTGGGGAACGTGCTGCATTCTGACTCCCACACCTTTACAAAACATTTATGTGCATGGCGAAATCTGATTACCCGACACAGTTGGCTCCTAAAGTGACAAAATTTCACACTGAGATCAGGAACATTTCTTTAATATCCAGCAGACATCTGTTTTCCTGTGCTAAGAACAACTTTGAACTTTCATTCATGTTAACTGATGTCAGAATTCTGGTTCTTTGGCCAAACATAGACTGAAAAATGTCTGACTTTAAAAATGAATTAATCAATACAACTTATTGTTGCTGGTTTATTTGTTACACTGTTAATTTAAAATGAAATTACCACCAGTCATAATTTTAAATACCTCCAGTTTTTCTATTTTCTTAACTACATTCTTTCATAAATATAAGGGCAGTTTTCCAAAACACAAAAGGATTCATAATTTAGGTTTTTTTATTAATATTTAATTGATTGTGAACTTAGGTTTTGTCCTTTCAGTTTTGCTTTCAAGGACACAATGATACAAAAAGGTCCTTGTTTGCAGAATTTCACAGCTTATCAACTTAAGCTTGTCCTTTGTAGTTTTCCTCAGATCGACAAGTGATCAGGTTGCACACAGTCAAGTAAATCCACCTGTGGACAGAGAACAAAAACTCTGGTGTTGACAAAATCTTCCTATTACCAGCTGCACATTTGAAGATAAGACACACAGCTTGCCAGATGTTAATATCAAGCTGAGTTAAATTAAGCACATGTATGGTGCTACAGGCTACATGGTCTCACTGAATGACGCTCTGTCCTTCCTTAAATTCATTAAACAACACAAACTGTGAACTTACAATAAATATACAATAGTATGGATTGCATATCATTTAATAAGCTAATACAAATGTATTTAAATTTACCAGGCTACACAAGCAGTGATTTTGAGACTTAATCTAACACACACACACACACACACACACACACACACACACACATCTTGATGCCATTGCTGTTGGTGTAAACTGATACAGGGCGTCAGAAACATGCTGAGAGGTGACAGTGTGCCTAATGCAATCTAATGAAAGGTATCACAATATGGAAAACTTAGAAACACTTTACCGCAGCGTGCTATTACCTGAAACTCACCTGTGTTTTTCTCTGTGGGTATAACATATAGGTGTTTTCCCCTGACCAAATCACACTTTGATGTTAGTCCCTGTTGTGTTCCGCTTTTGTTGCAGGTGGACAGCCCATCTTTATTCTGTGCCGGTGGGATAGCAGGGCTTCAGCAGCCTTTCCAAACACCGTTTTCATGGTTTAAAGCTTTCATCTCATTTGCTGGCTGAGGAAGTGTCATGCTGCTGTGGAGTGGTGTGTTGTTTTGTTGTAAGGGGCAGCCTAAACTTACCACTCTCATCAGGGGGTCAAAGCACCCTGCTTGCTATAGGAAACCAGGCTGGCCTTAATAAGACAAATTCCAGACATTGATTTGACAGAAATGGTATTTGGAATTAGATGTTGCAGAACAAGCAAATCACAGCTGGGGTAAAAACGATTCTCCCATCAGGGGGCAGGCATCCCTTTAGGGACTCCTATATCCCCTGCCTAGCTGAGAGGATCAAAGCCATGTCTTGAGGGAAAGGGAGACAAATCTGTCAAATTTCAGGATGAAACCTAAATCCTTCTATTCAGAGAGTAAAGAGGAAACGTGCATTAACTTATTATGTTAATAGGCTAAAGGCTAATTACAATAATTCTTCCAAGTGGTATTAGATAAGTTGTGTTTAATAATTTAATCTACACAAGAGATGAAGACAGTGATATTATGTAGCATGAACAAAAATTTTTAATTTAATATGGACTTAGTAGTAGTTTTTTTTTCTCCAGAGCTTTTAATAATTTCTCACAGTCTTGATCAGCAGATGTCCAACTGAATCTAAACTAACCCCAAACACAGATGAAGACTGTGAGATGTGGCTGAAAGTTCCAGAATAAACGTTACTAAGTGCACCTTGAAACTGGTATTTAGAATGACTTCTAAAATTCACTGAGAATTCTGTGGTCATCTTTTTTTTTTTCTTTTGAATGAATTTTCATCTGTGCTTCTGGAATTAAAACAAACATCTCAAAATAAATAAAGGTCACTGTGAAGTTAATCACATGTCAAAGGGCTCATTATTATAAGGGAGGGATGGGCCTGACAAGAGTCGGACAAAAGCAACATAGGGGAGGCGCTTCAGTTTCAACAAGCTGCTCTGATGATGCTGGGGTGACATCAGAGGTCCTCTAAGCTTTGTCCCCCCCCCCCCCTCGTTCTCACCAGCAGGTTGTTTCCTCCTCCTCTCATTAAGCCCTCATCCCCAAATTAGAAGCTTCTCCACACACCACATATGACTGTTGTGACCCTGTATGAGGGAAAAGACATGTTGTGGTGATAGATTTGCAACCCTGTCCTAAAAATTACATTTACATTTACACTGTGTTACAACTTTGTACCATAAGACCATTTCTGTCTTAGTAACACTGAGCGACTAATGCAGGCTGTAATCCTTTCCTTTCTGATTTACCAGAGAACATTACCCGTCAGATACAATTAATCCAGAATTCTGCTGCATGAGTCGAACATTACCCGTCAGATACAATTAATCTAGAATTCTGCTGCATGAGTTCTGACTAAGACCAGAAGGAGGAAACATATTACGACATTCTTAAAGTCTTTACATCGGTTGCTTGTTAGTTTTCATTGTAAAATTTGTATTATTCTATAAGGCACTACATGGTCTTGCACCAGACTGTCAGATCCTCTGGTTCTGCTCTTTTAGGTGTTCCATACAGCAGAACGAAAACCTGACGTCACACAACCTTATGTTACATCACAACGCTCCAAATACATACATATTTTGTGTGAGATTTTGCCAACTTTTAAATTATTTTAATGATTAACATCCATTAACGATAGTGCCATCTGCTGTTAACATTTGACTTTATCTCGGCCGGCCTACATATGACTGCTCTGCAAAATGTGATTAATAGCAGTATTGCTAATTTATATTCTGTAGCTTCTACTGCTTTGCTGGTTTGCTTTGTACAATATATATTAGCCAGTGTTGTTTCAGATAACCATAAAAATGTTGATCAGCTGATTTTGTAGGTAAAATAATGAAGAAAACTGTCAGTCAGCATTTTGCAAGATGAAAAACATTTTATGGGTCAGGAGTATCAATATTTGCAGATGACGCTTCATTGTCTGTCATTGTTAATGTGAGTATATGCAAAGATTTTATACATGGCATCTACCCACTTTTGTCATTCAGTAAAAACATTTCAACATGTCATGTGATCCTTAACACTAAAAGAGAACCGTGTTCCTGGTTAAACAAAGATGTAACCTGTTTTGGAACACAAAGCCCTTTTGCATGCCAGAGGCTTGTTTCAAAGAAAGCATTGTGAATTTTAAATTCCTCATGGCTTGATCCTTCCCATTAGACACCGAAGATTCTCTCAAACCTCATACTGTACTAACAGCAATTACACATTTATGTCAGAGCTGTTTATGCCCAAATTTTGTACATACCACTGCTTCTGACTGTTGCACCATAGCAGGTTTACATAACATAAATAATATATTCTGAGTTTGACTCCAACACAAGCTTTATATAGTTTGTAAAAAGTTTTATAAGGTCAAATAAGTTGTACTTTCTCACACTCTCTAAAGCTTCATGAAGAGGATCTCCAACAATGATAAGCTGTGTTTGTGATTCAGGACGTTATGATCAGATAATTTCCATAAAGCCTGTGAACTTCAGGTTGCAGTTCTTAGAATCTAAAGCCCGCATTGATGTTGGGACACCAGTTGTACAATTATACAACATCTAGACTGATAAAAGATCCCATTTATCTTTGAGTTTGATGGGAAAGAG